TTATACATGTATGTTCAATACGACCAGAAACACAATTGGTGTATGGTTAGTTTATACATGTATGTTCAATGTGACCAGAGACACCACTGGTGTATGGTTAGTTTATACATGTATGTTCAATGTGACCAGAGACACCACTGGTGTATGGTTAGTTTATACATGTATGTTCAATGTGACCAGAAACACCACTGGTGTATAGTTAGTTTATACATGTATGTTCAATGTGACCAGAAACACCACTGGTGTATGGTTAGTTTATACATGTGTGTTCAATATGACCAGAGACACCACTGGTGTATGGTTAGTTTATACAAGTATGTTCAATGTGACCAGAGACACCACTGGTGTATGGTTAGTTTATACATGTATGTTCAATGTGACCAGAGACACCACTGGTGTATGGTTAGTTTATACATGTATGTTCAATGTGACCAGAGACACCACTGGTGTATGGGTATATCCAATATCGAAATCACTTACGTTATTACATTATATATGTGATAAGAGCCTTAAACTCACACATTCCTCCCATCATCGCTAATCAATGTCACTCCGTCTCCTATAGTTTAGTAAAAAAAAATATGATGAAACCATTGCAGGTAAATGGATGATTTCATTGGAGCATCCAAGAGCCATGGATTATCATTTGGATACGCTCGCCATTAGGTCAACAGAGCAAGAGACCTGACAAGACCTGCACCAGCTCATCTATAGCGATTGTATTTCTGCACCAACTCATTTGGAGAGATTGTATTTCAAAAGAATGAGGCCCGTTTAAAATAAATGTGCCGCAATATACGTGGTGGCGTAGGCCGGCGGCACAATTTAATAATGGTGCACAATATAAAAAATGTTAAAGTTAACCCTAACCCTAACGTTCAAATTAAAACTGTGACAACTTATAATCGAAAGCCTACCCTGATTATAATTGTGTTAATTTAAATTGTCATTTATAACTTATATATAGAAGTGGGAAGGCGAAATGTCTCTCACGGGGATATTATTTTTGTACTGCCAACACTAAAGAAGTACAATTTATTTTGTGTTTTCAGCCAATACCATCTTTAGAATGGTTGTGTTAAACATACGGAACATGAAATTTTAACCTCCGTCTAACTAACCATAACAAACTTTCATTCATAGCTGATGTTTAGCAATGTGAACAAGACAGAGAGTATGGGTTTTTTTTTAGAAGTAACATAATTAAATTATCTTGACGAGGCTAAAAACAATTTTTGATGACGTCATTTCTTGGTGGTTGTTTTTCTGCGGGGAATTCATTTTACGAAACAGCACTTTACCTTAAAGCAGCGGTTCTCAACATGTGCGTCACGACCCCTTTGGGGGGTCGAACGTCCCTTTTACAGGGGTCTCTAAGACCATCGGAAACACATATACTCAGCAGTTATGAAGTAGCAACGAAAATAATTTTATGGCTGGGGGTCACCAAGACATGAGGCACTGCGATAAAAGGTCGCGGCATTAGGAAGGTTGAGAAGCACTGCCTTATAGAGTAATACCTTTTGTTGCTCGCTCAAAGTTAAAGTAGCACTAAACTCTAGATATATAATAACTATAAACAAGTGTATTATAATCTTATACTTGCGCAGTATAACCTTTATAACGAATAGTATAATCATGCACATGTGAAGTATAATCGGTACTTCAATTTTAATTCAACGCAAAAATTATTATTATTCACACTTCCCATAAAACAAATGTTCTTTTGAATAAAAGCGTTTAATTCAACGCAAAAATTATTGTACATTATCCATCATTTCACATTTCCATTAAACACTTCACGCTCCAATGAAACAAATATTCCATTGCAATAAATCATAGTTACTGCTTTTTACAGTCCTCCGCAGCTACTGTGGTGGCCAAATTTGAACAACATCGTCTAGAGTGGCGTTGAATACATTCAGACCATTTGCTTCAACACGTCGACGCAGAATGAACACAGACATAAGAATCGAGCATATGTCTGTGTGTGCCATTGTTTCTCCCTTTTGCCGATTTCCACGTATGTTCGATGGGTTGAGTATTGGGATTCCGTTAACTGTGGGGTTGTTCGCACATCGTCTGACAGCATGTACCATACCGTGTTGTTGTTGTAGAAACAAGACGCAACTGATTTCATTGGGAACTAAGGCAGAAGTTGTCCAAGAATTCATGGTGTTTAAAGAAGCAGTTTGTTCATCAAACCGGATATAACTGCATAAGACATAGAACAGCAGTAATGATAATTTTTTGCGGTGAATTAAAATTGAAGTATCGTATAATCACAGATATGTGTCATACAAATCTGAAATACTAGCTGAGACAATGCAGCCATTTTGCGCGTCTAAAATACCGGCAGATGTGCGTAATCTATAATAATAATAATTGCGGAAGGCGCTCCTCATTTGTTCACCAATTCTTAATTGCATTCATGATTAGCTGTATTGACTCTTGTAGAGTCTCAAGAGCCTACTAAATGCCTTTTAGAAATGCATGCATAAATGAAGAAGGAGGCAATGGGAGTCGCTTAGTCACTTCCTTGTTTGGTCACGTGATGTGAGTAAGCCATCACTTGGCTGCTACACACAACAAAAGATACTTCATCAGTGCTTCCCCAATGTCATGTTACTTAAAAATTTTACCTTTCGAAATATTCTGGAATACATGCGTTTTTTAAATGAAATCCATAAATGTGACAATAAATATACGTCAGTTATAATTAAAGGAAGAAAGTTATTTCAATAAAAATTTGTGAGCGGTATTCGATGGGAACTATCAATATCGGCAGGATGTTGTTGAGCTCCGTGCGTGCCCATGACGTCATTTGCGTTTTTATTCAATATTGATTCAGGAGTCATTCCCCTTTGTTTATTTTATTGTTACTTTTCATTGGATGAAATGTAGTGTAGTTGTAGTGTGTATCGGGCTACTGTTGTCAAGCACTAGTGTGTTGTATACAGCCTACCGGAAGTCTTACTTGTTTTTACTCATATCACGTGACAAATCAATAGACTAAGCGACTCCCATTGGAGCGTGTGTTCTTCTGTGTGCATTTTGGTGCGCACGACAGGGGAAGCCGCGAAATATATATACACATGCATGTATATAACTTACTCGTTTTATCCTTATTATTACTATATTTTTGTACTTCGCAATTTAAAGAAAGTAAGGAGGAAAGAGAGAAGAAAAAATGCATTCAGTTGAAGACCAAACGCGGAAAGAAAAAGAAAAGAAAAAAAGTTTTAAATGATGATTTCATTGAACATTTCTTCTGGTAATAACGCTGTATTGCCATGGGTCTGTAACAAGATTATGCTCGTTAGTGCGCAGTTAAATCTAATTAACGCAGTTCTTTAGAATATTTGGTGTACACGTTTAAATATAGGCAGGTATGTAATATATGTACACGAGGACAGAGTTGCACAGGGGATCTACAAGTGTATGAGACTAGATACGTGGACGATGTGTCCGTTATGTGATGTCAATGTAACAGAACATATCGGGTCCATTGTGATTGATTTTTTTTTATTTTTGTCCCAACTCAGTTTTGCTCATTTCTCCAGGACAGACGTCAACATGCGGTCGCAATGCATCGGTGAGCACGAACACACTCTGACACTTCTCATACACATGATGAAAACAAACAGAAAAAACAACAACAAAAACCTTACCTGGCCGTAAGCTGGCGTCCTCCGCGCCTCCACAGAGACACCTGTTGTCCTCGCCCACCTGGCTTTTCTTTTTCCTCCCATACGTTTTGGCCGCGCGTTTCGATTTCACGGTCGGGTGACCGCAGACACATTTTCCACAGATTTTCGCCGATTGTCGTTTTCTCGAATGAAACCGGTCCCGGGATGCCTTACCTTGACCGAAACAGTGCCCGACTTTACCTGGCGGCTTACGGCTCAGCAACGACCGCACTGAGATCCGCAGCCCCATGTCTTTTCGCGGGCGCCTCTTTGCCCCGCGGCGGCCCGGTTTCGCCGCTGATCCCGTGGGGAGTCGGTAGTTCCCGGAAGCGACTTTCTCGTAAGCCTCGTCCCCGTCAATGACCTCGTCGGATTCGGCGTTTTCGATGACAACGAGTCGGCGCTCGTCGCTGTCCGAGTCGTTCGCGAGTGTTTCGGTCGGGCTCGAGTGGTATTCGTGCCGGGGGGATCTGGCCTCCACGTTCATAGCGTCGCCAGAAATGTCAGCGACTCGTAGCTTGGTGTCCGCGATATTCTCCTCCTCAGTTTTCATCCTAACTTGTGCGACGTCGTCTTCTTTAACCTGACACGGGTCGGAAATGGCGGATCTCTGAGAGCAGTCCAACCCGTAGATTTGAGTTTCGGCCAGGCTGGCCGAAGAAACACTTCCGGTCTGGGAGCAGGTTGTGGGCTGAAGGTGAAGGCCGGAGACGAATCGCATCATCTCGAAGTCCTCCCTCCTGGCATCGTCTTCTCCGTCCATTCCCTTGGTGACCGTTGCGTAAGGTGTGTCGCTGTCCAACATCGGCTCGACCGACATGAACCTTTCGAAAGACGGGCGTGACGACATGGCTTTCATGCCCGCATCGCGTTCCGAGAGCTGCGATTTGTGGTCACCCGAGAAGGAATTGGTCCTTCTATTTCTCTTCATTGCTTTCGATTTTGAAATCGTCGCTCTCAGATCCGAGACAATTGTTGACAAATCTGATTGCCTCTTCTCTAGGCTGCGACCTGCGGGCGACACCATGGCGTGGAGCCTGTCCTCCTGTTTTAGGCTGGGACTGTTCAGGGCGCTGTTCGAGGAGGCCTCGCTGACGCCGGTTGAGGACACGCCGAGGGACGAACGCCTGCTGTGTATCATTGACTTGCAACAATATCCTCGTTTGTCCGCCGTCGGGTAGAGCAGCGTTGAATCACTGTCGCCGCTATCTCCATCATCAAAGCCATTCTGGGCGGGGTAGAGCGGGGGCTTCACCTTCCTCAAATGCGTTTTTTGCATGTATCGCAGGCGATTCGGGGAGACCCAGTTGTGCGGGGTTTTGTCGTTGTCTATCTCCGAGCCACGTGACAAGGTATTTTCAACGAGGGATTTGTGCTCGGGGTCGTTATTGTGCCTTGACGGGCTTTTGTAAGGGCTTATGGGATTTGAAGGTAATCTAAATGGTGAAGATGACCGAGATGTGCTTTTGGGGAGTTGCACTAGAGACGGGAATGTACTTATAAAACTGGACGACGAAGATGGGGCGCTGGCTGGTGGCGTGTTGGCGAGCATGTGGGGCGCCGACGGAGAAGTCACAATCATTCTCGGTATCGGGAGAACGGGTTTGTAGGAGAGATTACCACCTTCTGATGTGGAAATTCTGAGAGGTTCTGTTAGCATTTGACCTTTGACTTGCGATAAGACGATGACGTCTTGAGCCGCCAGCCGTGAGTCTTCGGCTTTGACAGCTTCCGGCTGCTGCGTGCCGTTGCCTGTGTTGAGAGACGTGTCGCGGATCTGGGGGTTTCGGTGGACAATGTTTTGAGGGTGGAGCCACGTCGATGCGGAGTATTCCGTTAGAGACGGGGGCGACCCGTAATCAGAATTCTCCGGAGACTGGCAGATTTGAATGGACAGCGGTTTGTTCAAGGTCAGCGGTGGGATGTTTGAGGCGTGACCCCTCGAACCGGGATAATTACCCATGGGGTTTGTTTGCTCCGCGGGTGATGCATGATGGGAGCGCATGAATTGGGGCGCCGCTAGCCCGCTGCTGGAGGAATATTTGATCACAGAGTTGATCGTAAGATTGGGCATAGCCTCCTTATTCTGAATAAACACATCAGTATTAGCACGGCAGTTTACGCTCGGATCATTCTTGGCCTCTCTCATGTGATCTGATTGCGAAGAAGACAGGTCCGTGCATACTTTGTGGTGAATCAATCCAATGCTAGAACCCTCCGAATATGCTGAGGTCACGTGTTTCATATCTGAAGCTTGGAGATTCCAAACGATGTGACCTACCTGACCTTGGTTAACCTGGGGCCTGGCCGACCCTGGTGTTTCACCGATCGTCCGGTCAGCGCGCGCGACGTCGACAGCGGACCGACGTCGGCTTTCTTCACCCACGTGGTAATCCAACCCCATGAGGTCCGTGTCTTTTGTCACGCCAACCGTCTCATCGGGACGTTCCGAACCACGGAGTTCGCCCCGAGTTTCAGAACCGCCGCCAGTCGAGGCCAACGAACGCTCGAGTTTGATCAAGGCCTTGTGTAGACTTTGAGCGTCATCATCCGGTGACGTAAACACTGAGGAGGCCTCAGCATCGGATATGTTTTCGGCTTTAATTTGAAAGACCGCAGCACTGGGGGCCCCCAGGGGCGTTTTACCGGATAAGTCAAGAGCGGACTCAACAACGGGGACCACTGCAATGGAGGATTTCGATGTTTTGATGACATATGAGAGTGGTGGCATCGATTCGTCGTTTGTAATCAATGTATTCTTTGAGAATTTAATATCCGATTCCTTTTCGTCTGCTGAATGGAATGAGTTCATTTCATACTGTAACTCAGATTTCTTCTCTTCTGTTGAATCCAATGCGTGGCCCCATTTGTCCCTATCAAACCTCATGCACAAACATTTATTGCAACGGTTCGACGTCTGCGACTGTCCAGAATTATCTCTGATCACACCTTTGCGAGAACCCTCGACACGTCCGCGTTTTCTGATGATATTTCTAGAAGGCAGCCCCAAGCGTTCCCTCTGCTGGCAGCGAGGACGTTCTCTGTTCGCCTTGCACCTTCTGGCATCGACCGACTCGGCATCCGGTGGCGTCAGCTCAGGAGTGAAAGAAGAACTGAACACATCGGACTCGAACAAATTCCTGTACTTATGATCAAGTCTCTGCGTATCACTGACCAGACCCGGGGTCATTTTTAAGGGAAAGTCTGTGCTCTTTTTGCGTGGTTTGCAATCTGCTGCAATTGAAAGCTGTGAACAATGCGACGCTCGTTCCGAATTCGTAAGTTTCTTGGAATTGAATTTGACTTCGGGGAAATCCGCTGGAAATTCCGAATTGCGGTAAACCACCTCGATAGCCGACGGGTCCGTTTTTTTACAGACGCCAAAGTGGTTCAGGGAAAACATTCTTCTTACTTTACCGACGGCGTGGGAGCGTTTTCTGCCCGAGTTCTTCGACGACATCAGCCTCCGAAATGCACTGATGCTATTCTTCTTCCTGAAAGCGATGTTCTCGGCGTCGGTGTTGGCGTGGCACGCGGAGAGCAGTGCCGACGACATGGCTCGGATTCTAGGATCGACCAACTCGTCTGCTGGCCGCCCGCCTGTGACTGTTTCAAGGCTAACTTTCTTATTGTTCCTCTTCGGCTTAGTTTTAGCCTTACGGCCCCCGGAGAGTGGATCGGCCCTCTTCGTCTTCTCGTTGTTTTTCCCCACGTTGACCAGCGCGCTTCTTTCCACGAGAGATAACGACGACGGCGTGATGTTAGCGTCAGCTTTGACGCTGATCTCGTCTTCGTATTCGTCGTCATCGTCGACGTAACGAATGGCTCGTTTCGAGGCTCTTGAGTAACGTTTCCGGCCTCTCTGACGCAGAGAATCTCCCCCCTTAGCAGTGTCCAAAGCCCCAGTGTCCAAATCCCCTTGATCGGCCTGTTTTTTCTTGTTATACGAAGGTTTCATCCTACTTTTGATGCGATGTTTCTTCTTCTGAGCAACTTTCCTGTAGGTAAACTTTAGCTTCCCAGACGTTTTGGTGCGAGCTCCAAAGTCTGAAAATGTGGAACCCTCGCTGGAGTCTCCGTGCTCGGTGATCTGATCGTCGTTCCCGAAATCACTCGGCTCGCTGCTGCTAGAGTCCGAACGACTGTCGAAGGAAGAAAATGAATTGGAATCGATCCCAGAAAAACTGCGCAACGAGTACAGCTCTATCACGGGGGACGGCAATCGGTCAAGAATCACCACCGGCGATTTCATCGTACTCGTCTCCGAAGTGTCAGTGTCTGCGTAGCAAATCGGCGGGGACGATTTCGGACGTTGGGGTTCCGAAATTAGTTCGTTGGCGACAACCTGGTTCATTGCCAATATCTGATTTTGGCTCAGGCTTGAACTGTCACGTTTTTGACTTGAAAAGGTCAAAAGTAGTTCTATAAACGACGAGGTGGATGTCTTGTCTCCAGGGGGAGCGCTGTCAGATCGTTTAAACTTAGGAACATGCAGTTGATGCTCTCTACGTGCATCCGCTGATAACTTTTGACTGGACGAGTTGCTATTTCGCCGAAAGTAATTTGCCGACGGTGGTGAAACCTTTGAATTGTTTTTGTCAAGTATCTGAAGGCACGTAGAGTTGTTTGTGTCACTGGCAGATGTTTCACTGCAACTGGGCGAAAAAAACTCGGCAGGGTTATCGCCCTCGACACATAGCTCGTTACACGACTTCTCTGACTCATGTGTAGCAGGTGAAATAACCGAAGCCGATCCGCGCTCGCTGCTTTCGCTTTCATCTTGCCTAGCATTGTTCCTAGACCTGATATGTAAGGAATCAGACACTGGCCTTTTTTCCACAACGACGTTTCTTTCGCGGCCTGTCTTAACCGAGCGATTGTGTTTGCCCGCGTTCAAATCTACACTTTGGGGCTCCTCGCTTAAAGGCTCCGGGGAGCTGTTCGAATCGACGGCACGGGCCACATCACGAGTATTCACCTGCAAGTCTACGATTTCTAACGCACCGCTGTTCTTCTGAGAGATCACCGCGCTGGAACTCGATTCCTCTCCATGACCTGGCGGGCTCAGCGCCAATCTTCTTGGAGGATCCTTCTCGAGGGTGAGCGACACCGTTTGTCGGAACTGCATCCCATCAAGCACGTTCCCGGCACACTGCGCATTCGATTCTTTGTTCCCTCGGTCGCTCAGTTTTCTATCACAATCAGCTCCCGGCCCCAAGACGCTTTCGCCATTCAACGAGCCTAACACTCGGTGATCTCCGTCTTTAGAATCACGATTGCAGTCTCTGGTTGCCGTGGTTTCTGAAACACCCCGTTTCTCCAACTTTGGCGCCCTTTTCAAGGTCGGTCGACCGAACTCGTCGCGGTGCTTCTCTTTCCCTCCTTCGCGCTTCCTGTCCTTCACCCCCGGCCCCAACGGAAGTTCATTTCGCTCACTTTTGGCGGCTCTTCTAGCCAGACAGGTGCACTTCGCCTCTCTCCTGCTGTTCTGCAAGCTGTACCCGTGGGAGCACTTGCATTTCTGGACGATGAGTTTGGGAATGTCCGTCCGGTCTTTGGCAGACTTAACGTTCGTCTGCTGAGCTTGGGACTTCTCGGTGGAGCGTCTTCTGAACGTGAGCTTTAGCCCCCGCGTCTCGCAGCTCTCGATTTGGTCGTACTCCTCCGTCGGGACATCGAGGAATCGAAATTCCGAGGAAGTTTTGGCCAAGGGCGAAGATCCGAGGTGTGACGACGGCGTTTTGAGGGTCTTTGCTTTGTTGAGCTGTGATGTGCTGGACATTTTCCGTGCGCTCTGACGACAGTCGTTGAATGATTGCCCAGAGGAAATGTTATCTGCTTTTTTGTTGCCGCCTCGTGATTTCTGAAAATCACCGCGCTTAGATTTTACACATCGGCAGCTGAGCTTCACCGTGTTCTCCTTCTGCACCAATTCCGAGTCCTTTCGTTTAACCGCAATGTTTAAATTGGACGCCTTTTCGGTTTCCCGTTTCGATGCGCGAACACGGTTACGGTTCACCGCACTTTCATCATCTGGACAGTCCCCACGAACCGGTCCGTGGGGCGATGACGGTGGCGACGCAGGGGGAAAGGGGAAAGGTGAACATGACCTGGTCGAAAAACTGACACTGTCCGGATGGTCAGTTTCGGGCGGTGGCGCAGAGTCCTGCTGCAGTGTTGTGGTGCTGCTGTCGGTCCACTGGGTTTTTGAGGGAACGTGCCACCACGACCTGCTTCTTCTGGGGTCCTTCAGGGAAAAATTTATGGGCTCCAACTGCATGTTGCGTGGGGGGCCCAGAGCAATGTAGCCTCAGGTGCCAGTTTGCAAACGTTCGAACACCTCATTTTTCGTGTTTAAAAAATTAACGTGCGAAGAGGGGTATCTTTTTAACTTTGACCCCATCTTGAATGAATACCAAAAAAAATCTCTCAGCAATGCCTGATATCCTTGTTGAAAATGACTCTAGTCTTGTCCTCTTTAATGTCAGCTAAGTCAATGTCTCCCCCTTTTTTGATCCTCATGAATTATCGCGCTGTTTCGCGTTCACCGATTTCAAGGCAATGTGCGATACGTTCTTCAGCGAGTCTCAAACCTGGACAGCAATGTCACCTCATTGGCGCCTCGACGAGGAAATCCAAAGAAGATCATTGTTACACATTTTAACTTTATCACCGACGCCCCCTTGCTGAAGCCAGCTATTTTCTTCCACAGAATTGCTGAACACCCGCCCGTGGTGCGCAAGCGAGTCTCATCCGCTGCGTTCCAAGGGTTTAATCCACTCATTAATAAACGGTTCAGCCGTTGACCCCCCCCCCCCTACAGGAAGGTCATATGACCTGGATTATGTGTTCCCACCAACAACGTCCTCTCATCACCCGCTGTCTCCAAAGCATATCTCCATTTTTCTCGTAGATAGTCTTCTTGTTTTTTTCCCCCCTTACTATTAAACTGTTTAATTTACTTCAAGTTTTATAAAGAGTCTCCTTTGTTTTGATGCTGTTCTTTTTTTGTTATTGCATGAAGTTGTCTCTATCGCCAATCGGCCAATGTCGTTGAATCATCGATTGCCTCTAGTAGGACAAGGAAACGACTCAGACACACACTCTCGCTATTGTTCTCTGGGTTTTTTTTTTTTTTTTTTTGGTTTTTTTTTTTTTTTTTTTTTTTTTTTTTTTTTTTGTTTTTTTTTTTTTTTTTTTTTTTTTCAACTGCCGCAGCTCGTGAAGCTGAATATTGAGCCTCCGCCCATTTACATTACGTCACAAAAAAAAAAAAATTTTGCAGCACTGTAGACGGTGGTTGATCGGCTGAAGTGCGACGGGCAATCACGGTGTTCTTGTTTTGCTTTGCATTTTCCCTTCCATTTTTTTGTGAAGTTTTAAATGTAAGTGCGCCATCTTGGTTTTTCTGGCGCGATGAGGGGTGAATCTACGACGTGAAGAGCTGAAAAAAGAAGAAAAACAGTTTGTTTGTTTTTTAAATGAAGACATCAATCTTAATAACTGATGGTTTAACTCAAGACATCAATCTTAATAACTGATGGTTTAACCCAAGACATCAATCTTAATAACTGATGGTTTAACTCAAGACATCAATCTTAATAACTGATGGTTTAACTCGAGACATCAATCTTAATAACTGATGGTTTAACTCAAGACATCAATCTTAATAACTGATGGTTTAACTCAAGACATCAATCTTATTAACTGATGGTTTAACTCGAGACATCAATCTTAAGAACTGATGGTTTAACTCGAGACATCAATCTTAATAACTGATGGTTTAACTCAAGACATCAATCTTAATAACTGATGGTTTAACTCGAGACATCAATCTTAATAACTGATGGTTTAACTCGAGACATCAATCTTAATAACTGATGGTTTAACTCGAGACATCAATCTTAATAACTGATGGTTTAACTCGAGACATCAATCTTAAGAACTGATGCTTTAACTCAAGACATTAATCTTAATAACTGATGGTTTAACTCAAGACATCAATCTTAATAACTGATGGTTTAACTCGAGACATCAATCTTATTAACTGATGGTTTAACTCGAGACATCAATCTTAATAACTGATGGTTTAACTCGAGACATCAATCTTAATAACTGATGGTTTAACTCAAGACATCAATCTTAATAACTGATGGTTTAACTCGAGACATCAATCTTAATAACTGATGGTTTAACTCGAGACATCAATCTTAATAACTGATG